CTTTAACTGCCTTGGCTTAGTACTAGGGAATCATGGGAACTGTAGTTTATTGTGGTACTAGTGTTCTCTGACAGAGAAGGCTCAATGTCTCAGAAAAAAAATACAATTCCCGTGATTCCCTAGCATTGAGCCAGGACAGTTAAAGTGGTCTCAAAATGGATTATTTAAGGCCCTTAGTCTCCACTGCAAGAGGATATGCAGAAATCCTGGGGCAGGAGGACGTGATCAGCAAACTCATTTTGCATTTATTGTAGTATTATCTAGGTCTTCCACATGTCCTTGGACTAGTGTGGCTTTCCCACATGTAATTTCTTACATGTTCCAAAGGCTATCATGAGCTCTTAAAAACATGCTTGACAACAGATATCAAATATAAAAATCAGTGGCACCACTAAGGTTGGCATCACTCAATGCAGTAACTCACCAACCCCTGCTGATCTCCTCTCATGCCACACCATACAGAATTCTTAGTAATGTTTTTTGTACTGCTGTTATTCATAAATCATAATTCCAGTATATCACAGACTATAATGACAATAGTTGTAACATAAACAACTAGCAATTTTTTTTAAAATTACATTATCATATGCACAGCTCAAATGCTATGTACATTGTTTTAGGTGGAAACTGTGTATATAGTTTCATGGTTAAAGTAAAACTTTGGCAAGATGTGATGTTTTTAAAGATTTTTTTTTAAAATAAATTAAATTAAATTAAATTAAATCTCTTTTCTCTTCCCAATTTGCCTCACCCCACTCACCCCATCTCTTCGGTGTTTCAGAGGGATGGAGGTGAACATCACAGCCCATTTCTGCCCAAAAGCAGATGTTTTGAGAGCAGTGGTGTCATCCCTCCCTTAGGATGTCACCTGATACAGCCCACACTCTTGAGTAGGATAACCCTACAATTCCCTTTTCTTTCAACTATTTTGGACAAGACACATAGTTGGGATGGCTTTCATACTGCAAGCCTTATCCTTCTCCATTATTCACAGTCACACCCAGCTAAGTGGCTAAGACTATAATAAAACAGGCACATCTAAGAGCGGCAGCGGTGGGAAGGTATAGATAAGAGAAGGGGATGCATGGCTGCCTGCTGCTTGGAAGCCTGGGCTATTTTTCTGTGAAGAAGAGATGAGTATAGCTTAATCACTGAGCCACTTGTGTTGTGCTACTAATCTTTTCTGCAAATAAATCAGAATGGCTGGACAGTAAATGAGTAGATGCAGTAGAACAGCCTTGACTAGAATTAGGACACCTATTTGTAGCACCCTATTTATACAGCAGTGTTCCCAGGGAGGTTTTGTTTGTGGTTGTATGCCTTCAATTCATTTCCAGATTATGGCCATCCCAAGATGGGTTTTCATAGGGTTTTCTTGGCAAGATTTACCATATTCTGAAGGGGTTTGCCATTGCCATCTTCTGAGGCTGAGAGAGGGTGACTTGCCCAAGGTCACCCAGTAAGTTTACATGGCCAAATTGGGATTTGAACCCTGGTCTCCAGAGTCATAGTCCAAGGCTCAAACCATAATGCTACCCTGGCTCTTTGTTTTCTTTTCAGTAGCAGGGATGTAGATAGACACACTGTCCTAAGCCTTTTGGTGTCTGTTCCTTTTATGGTGGACTTTTATTTGCCTGCCAAATTTCTCTTTACTAGATTATTCTGTTGCATTTTATTTAATAAGCCTCTCTGGGAACTGTGCTTGAAAAGCTGATACTAAATGTTTTGATAAACAAACAAATAAGCAAATAAATAAATAACCAGACTGTAAACTGCAGCATAACAATAATCCAAAAAACTAGAATAATATCTTCAGTTCAATGCATTGGCTGTGGCACTCTCTGCTGGTAACTGGTTGGTTAGCAAATTAGTGTGTGCTGCTAATATACTGCAAGCAAATTCAATATGAAATTATAAGGATTGAAGTAAAGTGATAATTGAGTGAAAAAAATTCCAGTCTTTTGCAAAATTGAGAATTTTGGGAAGTAACCGTTAACTTTCAATGTTAAAACAAGAGTTGGCCAAATAAATTATTTTTTATACTTCCCTTCTACTATTAAGTCTTAAAATTCCAATTATTGCCAAACTTATTGAGATATATAGATAATATTTCAATCAAGTCCTACCAGTGCTTCATTTGTGCAACTCCGGGCTATGCTTTAAAGATCTTCAAATGAAAACAGTACTGGGTACCTGAACCACGAAACATACCACCTTCTAAATAGTTACTCCACTTTCTCTTGCCAGTTGAACCTTATGAACTGTCTCACTTCATCCAAATTTCTGCATGCTTGGAGAACTGAACATGAGCAAATTTTTGTCCAGGTGTATCAAACTAAAAGAAACCAAATAATATCTTGAGATAATCATAACATCCCATTGCCCTTGTTCCTTAATGGAGTAGTTTGTGGCAGTACTAGTACAATAGGTATAGTAATAAATGGAGGCAATGTTGTTCTAGTTCTGTAATCCATCTGAGGGAAACAATTGGATAAGCTGAAAGGGATCACCCTTCCTTTCTGCACCAACCAATGAGGATTTTTTTTTTCTCCTGTATGGTTTTTAACACCTTGCATGATGAAAAAGCCAGTGGAGCTTCAAAAGCTTGCAACATGTAAATTGTGCATTTTGGTTGTCCCCATAAAGGTATCACTGTTTGGTGGATTTTTGATTTTATTGGATCTCCAAATATTAGTTAATATAACAACAGGCTTCACATGTTGGTCTTCATAATGGCTAGAGAGACAAGCTGCAGATGAAGGGACTCACCCAGTATCCAGAGAAGCCATTGTTACATGTACAGACTGACTTCTAAACTGGGCTTGTTCCATGATGCTTTATATAGTTCCTGTCCAGGGAGGAAGAAGGAAGAAAGCCTAATGAAGTGCTCACCTGCTCTTTCATCCTCTCCATTTCAGGAAAAGGTGTTTTGGGCAGGGCTGGGGCCACAGGGAAGGGGCTTCACACATACTCCTAACAGCGAACAGATTGGCCTATTAGGCCTAAGCTGACCACAGACCTTGGGGCGAAACAGACAGGCAAAATAAGTAGGTTTCAGGCCAGCTTCAAGGTGGAATATTTAGACAACACACACTTTGAAGCTGGACAGAAAGTGCCCTCTAGCCATCTTAAGGGGAGAAAAACCACGTCAAAAAGCAGCTTGTTTCTGCTTCTTCCCAGAAAGTACTCACTTTTACATATACGTATAAATGCACCAACACCAGTGAGGCTCTAAAAGGGCACTTTTTCCAAACCCTAACCCTAACTGTGCATGTAAACACACCATTGCAGGAACAAAGCTGGCGTACACAAATGGTAGGGATGGTAATGTCCAAAAGAGAAATCATGGAACCTCTCATGGAGATGAGTACAACATATACAAAAGTCAGTCAAAGAGGGGGGGGTATAGGGTGAAGCGAGGCGTGATTGTACCTTGCTGGCATCTGCATGGGCACATGCTCTCATGCCCTATCCCAGTGAAACGCTGCACATGCGAATGTGTGCAGGTTCACAGGGATGGTTGTGCAATGAGATGGCAGTTGACAGCAGCTCACTCCTGTGAAGATGCACAGGGATGGTGATGGGGACAGTAAATTAAAAAAAAGTACCCAGCGGTGCAGCTTGAAGCCATGCCATGTTGTCATAACATGCACACTCCAGCCACTTTGGGAGCCAGCAGTGCGGTTGGTGGGGTTTCAATGTAGCTTTGGAAAATGCAGCTTCAAGCCATTTTTCTTGCTCATCTGTTTCGCCCCTAACTTTCCAGCCATGAACAATTTCCTAGAGATAGTTCCGTAATTAAGGCAACACTCTGGAGAAACTCCATCACCCAAAAACCACTTACAAAACTTCAAATCATCCAGATACATACCACCAAAAATTTTAATATTTGAGAAGGTTCATATGGGGGAATATGACTCTAAGCCATAAAAGGCTTTAAAATGTAACACTAGTGCTTTGATTTGCACAGGGAATCCCATGGATGCCTTGGAGAAATAGTGAGAAATGCTTCATGTTCCATTTCAAGTTTCTGGGTAGACTTCCAAGGCAGTTTGACCTACAATGCATTGCAGATATCCCACCCAATATTATAAAATAACATGACACAGTAGTGTGTGACTTTGTTTTAGTCCAATAAGCAAGGTAGGGAGGTGGCTCAGAAATCAGTGGAACAGTGAATCTACTCTAGGATTTTCTCCAAATCTTAAAGAGTTACCCAAGGTGTTGAACCTTATCCCCAAAATAAATTCAGCACCTTATATACTGCCTTTAAAATTTAGATTAAAATCCAGTATGGATTCACCAACTCACTGAAATCAGTCACCCATCTCACCCAAGAGCTAATGAACTTTGGAAGCAAATTTTAAAAGCAAGGTGGAAACAACTTCAAAATGCATAGCCACTTATCTTGAGAAATTAATCTTCTTCTAAATAACAGTCTTAAGAAATGGTATACTCCATTATTTTATATTAGCTGTGTACTATACTTGTATGAATGGTATTTTCCCAGCTGGTAAATTCTGACATAAAGGCCATAAATTTTACAAGGAAGTCCGCTGCGTGAATACATTCTAAGCAATAAGCTATAGCCAAATATTAGCTCCTGGCAGAACAGACAAATTAAGGAAGAGATATATTTTATTGGTCTGACAATAAAGAGTCTAATAAAGGTTACCACATCACTGGTTTCTGCTGAGTAGATTATGATTTATTACTGACTTCCACAGTCTTGCATCTGGCTACTGGACAGAACTTTCATTTCACTTTAAAATGAAAAGGAGAGATTGTTGACAATTTTTTTAAAAAACTCACAATTCCCCTTTCTTTTCTGAGTTTTACTGCTTTCAGTCTCTCTCTTGGAACAAGCCAGAAGAAAAGTGTCTGTTGTAGATCTACAAGTTCTACTTGTACAGAACAGACCTCACTTTTCAATGAATGGCCAATTAATCTAAATGGTAAAAGTAAATTAATGCATCTTGGCTTTCTCTAAACAGCAGGTTCATCAATCCTTGGGAAGATGAATGATTGACCCCTAAGTCTGAAGGATGTTTTGCAATTACTTTACTACTTCCCAATAGAATAAACCTGGAAAAATTCAAAAGGAAACATTGAGCAGCGATGTGGAGTGTGTTCTGAATGCCTTTTAACAGTAATTTGTAAAGGAACCTAAAAAGATACTTATTTGCTCAGACACACACACACCGGTTTTGTAGGCAGTTTTTATGCACACATCATAGAAGTGATCATCAAGTTACAGAACTGTTAAGTTCTTCATCCTTAGTAAACTGGATGGATGACATTTCACTGGAAAAAAATATCTGAAAGTATAGGCTGCAGATATTATGCACAATGTTCAGTGGAAGGACACCCTTTAAAGCATGGCTGTCTGGGCAACTACAGTTTTTACCCCTGTGCACTTCTGGAAGCTCACACTGTCCCATTTTCAGCCAAAAATTGCAACCAGAAATGACTCCTGGTTGCAATGTTTGGTTTCTACAGGATGTTTAGGAAATTATGGGGAGTAGTGGGAAATGTTTTAAGGAAATCGGTTGCTCTTGGAGGCTTCCAATGATGACTGATTTGTTTCCATCTGAAAAAAAAATACTGGGCATGCAGGGATTGGACTGCAAAAAAAAAAAAAAAAGCCACATGTGATCCATGACCCTGTCCTCTTTTAAAGTTTGGGAAGTTTTAGAGTTGATTCCCTTTTGTTGACAATTTGCTGTAATTTGCATTATCTCCTATAATTACATTACAAACCCCCCCACACACACACATATACACACTGAGGACTAGAACTTGGGGTATGTGTTGTGTGTCTTTATGCTGTTCTGACTTATGATGACCCTAAGGAAAACCTATCATGAGGTTTTCTTGGCAAGATTTATTCAGAGGTGCTTTGCCATTGCCGTAAACCATAACATTTCACTTAATTGTAAAGCTCTCTGAGCATAAATATAACCCTGCTTGTTGTTGTGTTTTAGTGGGTAAGGTTGTTTTCTCACTGTTTGTTTCTAAGAGACCTGCTGCATCAGTAGGCTAGCTGGTACCCTGCTGTCTGTTGGCTGTGGTTTAAGGTAGAATATTCGAAAATATATGGAAAATGGTCAAAAAACATGGTTTTCGAGTGTTCAGAAACCCTGATGAGAAGAATCCTGGGCTTACAATTTTGTGCAGAATAAGTCCCTAATTGTGACTAGCTCTCAAATACTATGAGGGTTTTGAAGATTTTTTCACAGCAGGAAGAAAATTGCTGAAATTACTCATTGCTCCCTTCAAGAAGAAATGTAGTGAAGAATTATATCCCTAACATTAATCATGCTCTGAAGACTGATTGGCAATGCCAGATATGTGCCTTTTGCTTTCAGAATTGCCTCAGTCCCTGATGATAGTCAGTAAGGACCTCAACTTTGCCATATACACTGACCTGAATCCTACTGGCATTCTCAATTTTAATCAATTAGATGTACATAAACTGCCAGCTCACCATTCAATTGCTTCAATGGGTCTACTCTAGTTGGGACAACCAATAGGACTGACAG